TCGCCCGGGTACAAAGGCCGAGGGTATGACAGACCCGCGGCTGCCAAGTCGTACGAGATCGGGCACAAGACACAGCACAGGACTCATCTCGATGCTACACAAGAATACTCTGGTGTCGATGCTGGAGGCTCGGAGCGCGGTGGACGAGGAGCGCAGGGAGCTGGGGGGGGCGGAGGCCGGAGAGCCGGGCGGAGCGGGGACCGTAGGGCAGGCGGGAGCACTCGCAGCTGTGGACCCGGGGGCTGGAGGAGCGGGCTTTCCACTCGCATTTGCCACGCTTTTCGCCAACCGGGAAGACATCGATGCCATGCTGCGAGACCAGCGCCCGCCGGAGCAACGCCCTGACCTTCCGCATTGCCAGGCCAGCGACCTTCGTGTCCCCAAGAGCTACAAAGAGGCCATGGCGTCGGAGCNGGGGGGGGCGGAGGCCGGAGAGCCGGGGGGAGCGGGGACCGTAGGGCAGGCGGGAGCACTCGCAGCTGTGGACCCGGGGGCTGGAGGAGCGGGCTTTCCACTCGCATTTGCCACGCTTTTCGCCAACCGGGAAGACATCGATGCCATGCTGCGAGACCAGCGCCCGCCGGAGCAACGCCCTGACCATCGTCACTGCCAGGCCAGCGACCTTCGTGTCCCCAAGAGCTACAAAGAGGCCATGGCGTCGGAGCACCGGCACCTTTGGAGCGACTCTATGCAAAGGGAGTTTTATGGCTTGTTGGAAGCGGGGACTTTTACTCCGGCGAAGTAGCAACTAGTGGAGAACGCAATTAACGCTAAGTGGGTATTCGATTGGAAGGCAGATGAGTTTGGATGGCCCACTAAGGTTAAGTCGNGAGTTTTACTCCGGCGAAGTAGCAATTAGTGGAGAACGCAATTAACGCTGAGCNCCCAAGAGCTACAAAGAGGCCATGGCGTCGGAGCACCGGCACCTTTGGAGCGACTCTATGCAAAGGGAGTTTTATGGCTTGTTGGAAGCGGGGACTTTTACTCCGGCGAAGTAGCAACTAGTGGAGAACGCAATTAACGCTAAGTGGGTATTCGATTGGAAGGCAGATGAGTTTGGATGGCCCACTAAGGTTAAGTCGAGACTTGTAGCGAGAGGCGATATGCAAAGAGAGTACATTGACTTTGGAGAGTTGTACGCACCTACCGTTTCTGCTTTTGGCGTGCGAGTTGAACCTCGACTTGTGTCATTTCGATGTTGAGCAAGCTTTTGTGCGTTCGGAGTTGGAGGAAGACGTGTACATGCGTTTGCCGCAGGGATGTGGAGCTCTATCAGGAATGATTGTAAAACTAGGCAAGAGTCTGT